CAGGGCTTCCTGCCGACTGCCTCCAACCAACTAACCTATACATCTCTAAACGACCTTGACAAATCTTGAATTCACTGATAGGTCAAGAGTCAACAACCAATGAGATTTCAGCCTTCGGCAACAGTGGGAAGAACGAGAGATAGCTAGTAATGGCGCGAAAACAGATATCATAAAATTATTTTGAGATCATAGACAAATATAAGGCAAAATAAGGGAGTATATAACAAAATAGACGCACGTTTATGAAGTAGTAGAAGTTGTTCTGTTGGGTTGTAATACGCACTTTCTCTTGAGTACTGCTTTCTTTGCTCAATACTAAGTTCTCTTATTTGATATATACCAACAAGTGGATAGCGTCCGGAATAGGTCAGTGGTAAAGTTACTGACTACAACACTGGGTGACGCAGGTTCGAACCTCAGGCGGGACATCAGTTCCGTCCAGGTTGCAGATACGCCTTGCTGACGAGTACCAAGGAGAACGAAACCTAGGTCCAGGTCCAGGACTCCCTGCCGATAGCCTCCAACCAACTAAAATCACCAACTTCATTAAAGTAACCTTAACAACAGTTAAGCATTTCTTGTGTAGATGTTAAGGGAAGTCCAGTTTGCGCGTTTGTGAGGACTGGTTGAATTACTACCAAATCCCTATTAAATAACTTACTTTGGAACGAGATTTCTTGGAGCTCTCATGAGAAGCTACGGCAGATGACGTAAACCAAGTCAAAAGTGTGGTACTGAATGAAGGTCCCACTACATTGCAGATTGACAGAAGTAAGAAACTGTGGACTAGTTGATTCCGACCCAGTGGTTCAGCGGTGACGTCTTCACCACGGGACTTCGTCCTATTTGTACACTACTGAGGAGTCTCATACTGGGACGAAGCAACTGTCCAGTGACTTCCCAAGTTTTCAATGGTTCTCCAAGTGATGTTAGGTCGTGATGAACACCAACTTGATATTAGGCGGAATGTCAAATGTGGCTTCCTAATGCTGTACACCTATTCCACTACGGATATAACTAGTGAACGGGATTCTCGGGCAAATAGTTCTAGAAGTACGGTGATAATAATAATAATCCATCGTCAATTTTCTTCTAGAAAAGCGTCATAGTGATAGGATTTCGACCAACTAATACGGGATTGGCAGGATTTCATCTTCACTTCATCTCCTGAACCGTTCTTGCAGCGGTAATGACATTGGTTGGTACAAAGGCATTTTTTCATCATTATCATATTTGTTACATGCCATACCATCCCTTTTAACTTCTAATTTTCACCTATTTTCCAGAATACCCCTTCCTTGTTCAGTATTTTCATGCGTCAAACAACATCACCTACCAGTGTAAACAGACATATCCAGTTGACGTGTCGTAAAACGATAAAAGCTCCTGTCCACCCCCCACCCCCCAAGCAAAATATGATGCATCATCATCCTGAAAAGATTAAACGATGCGCTGGATTCAAAACTACGACCCGAACAGGCTGGCTGGATTCAGGAAGTGCAAATCATGTGCGGATAACATTGCAACGATAAGCTACACATCAATATAGGACAGAGTACAGAATGGCAGTCAACCCTCTACCTCAATGTCGTCGAATTTGGAAAGGCCTTCAACAGCGTCGACCGAGAAGTAATTTGACATGCAGCTGCTTCAAAACTACAGTTTTAGTGCCGCAAACCTTTATCAATCTCATTCAACAACTACATGAAGACGCAACATGCCAAGTGATCCACAATGGAAAGATCAGTGACGCCTTTGAAGTGAAGACGGGAAGGAGTAAGACAAGGTTGCTGTCTACAGTCACCCATGATATTCCTCATTGTGATCCACTGGATCATGCAACAAACAGTGAGGAGCGAGAAGAGGGGGATACGCTGGACCGCGGAAAAGAACCTAGAAGACTTAGATTTCACCGATGACTTGTGTCTAATATCACACAAACTTAAAGATATACAGCCGAAAACTAACAAGCTCACACAAGAGGCACGGTACGGCAACGAAGACCGGACTTACTTCAAGTGAACATTGAGAAGACAGAGGTAATGATGATCGATATCCAACCAACACCCTCACCACCACCACCAACAACAACAACCTCCAATCACCATCAACGGCAGAAAATTAAAGGAAGTTGCCTCTTTCACCCACCCATCCACCTACCTACCTACCTACGCAGCATCGTCTCAACTACACGCCACACGGACACAGACGACGATATCAAAGCCAGCCAACCAGCCAGCCAGCCAGCCAGCCAGCCAGCCAGCCAGCCAGCATCGGAAACACACCAAAACAGGCATTCATTAACCTGAAACCTCTGTGGAGATCTACTGCACTGCACTCAGCATAATGCATGAACAACATCCGGATTTTCAACACCAATGTTAGTGAAGTCAGTCCTCCTATGTGATGGTTGACAGACTTGGCGTGTAAACGCGAAAAACATTTCCAACAAACTACACACATTCATCAACAACTGCCGCCTACACTGTCTCGTTACTGAAGCTCACATCAGATGCCCAGAATAATAAGAATAAGCAACAAGGAACTCTGGCTGGTTGACTGCCTGCCTGGCTGGCTGGCAACGAACCAACCAAAAACCCATCACTCAACAAATATGCAGAAGGAAGTGGAGATGGATTGGATTGGGCATACACTGAGAAGGTCGATTGGGGATATCATGCACTAGGCCAGACCCTCGAGTGGAACGCAGATGGGAAACGACGAGTTGGGCGTCCGAGGTGAGGGTGACATGGAGGAGATCATGTGAGGGAGGAAGAAATGAGAGCTTGTGGGTTGTCGTGGCGCCAGGTTCAAAAGATGGCAGAGGACAGGCTACACTGGAGACGTGCTACTGAAGCCCTATGATCCATTAGGAATCCAAGGGATAAATAATAAAATAATAATAATACATCGATGCCAAGTAATCCACAATGGGAAGCTCAATGATGCTTTTGAAGTGAAGACAGGAGTGAAACAAGGTTGCCTACTATCCCCCATGATATTCCTTATTGTGGTGGACTGGATCATGCAGCAAACAGTAGGCAGCGAGAAGAGGGGGATACACTGGACGGCGGAAAAGAACCTAGAAGACTTGGATTTCGCCGATGACTTATGCCTAATGTCACATAAACTTGAAGATCTGCAAGCAAAAACTAACAAGTTGATAGAAGAGGCAGCGAAGACGGGACTTCAGGTGAATATAGAGAAGACAGAAGCGATGAAGATACCGCACCACCACCATCAACAACAACAACAAACTCCAATCACCGTCAATGGGAGAAACTTGAAGGAAGTAACCTCCTTCACTTATCTAGGAAGCACTGTTTCAACTACAGGCGCGACAGACGAGGATGTCAAAGTTAGAATCGGAAAAGCAAGTCAGGCGTTCATTAGCCTGAAACCAGTGTGGAGATCTTCTGCACTCAGCATGTGGAACAAGATACGGATTTTCAACACCAACGTCAAGTCAGTGCTCTTGTATGGCTCAGAGACTTGGCGCGTCACGAAAGGCATTTCCAATAAACTACAGACATTCATCAACAACTGCTTACGCTCGCTGCTGAAGATCAGATGGCCAGAAAAAATAAGCAACAAGGAACTCTGGGAACGAACCAACCAAGAACCTATCACCCAACAAATATGCAGGAAGAAGTGGAGATGGATTGGCCATGCACTGAGAAGGCCGACTGAGGACATCACGCGTCAGGCCAGTTGCTCGAGTGGAATCCCCATGGGAAGCGACGAGTTGGACGTCCGAGGGTGACATGGAGGAGGTCGTGCGAGGAGGAAATGAGAGCTTGTGGGCTGTCGTCGGACCAGGTTCAAAAGATCTCAGAGAACAGAGGTCACTGGAGGCGTGCTACTGAAGCCCTGTGTTCCACTAGGAACCCAAGGGACTAATAATAATAATAATACATCGATCAAAATCAGCTTCCTGGATTTCATTGATGGCCTTCATTGAACAAAATATCCTTCTGATCACGTTGATAAGTTATCGACTTCAAACATTCTGATATCCATCTTTATTGACTCTTATACTCTACTTTCAAAGTGGTAACCATAACTAGAATCCTTGTGGCAATGGATTATTATCAGCATCAACAATGGCTCGACAACCAATTAGGGTAGAAATAATAATCTGTTAGCTAGGGGATTAATCAATGTGATAAACTAACAAACAGTTTGGCCAGACATTCTAGTCTACAATAAGATATCTATGATGGGTTAAGCGAGAAAGTATTACAATCTTTTACTGTGATGTATGTTTGTGTGCATTTGTTTCCCATATGATTATATATTATACTATGCATGATAAGTACAGACTGATCTGCAAACCAATCATATTGCAAGTTTAAGCTAACAGTTTGCTACAATACAACAATTGATATACAGACATCCTATTTTAAATATATTTTATATATATATATACAAATATATATATATATATATATACATGTAGTATTCGTCCTTAACTTTATTGATCCGAGGGAAGTAGTCTTACATCTACATTCCCATTGAATGAATGAAAGACAGACATGTACATGCGCCACTTTAACTATGCTATTTTTCCTATCTGACTAAAATCTCGGCCTAGTCAAAGTCGATCGGTCCAAGCATTAAATTTATATGCTTCCCAAACAAGAAAACAAAAAAAATTGCTTGCGCATGTGTGTATATATCAATCAATGTTCGATATAAAATGGAAAAGTTAGACAGACCGGTGGTGGTTAATTCAGTAGTAGTAGCACGTCATTCCATTTTACTACGTGAGTAAGCCTAGATTTATAGGTGAACAAAATCGTACATAGAATAATACTAGAAAGGATAATTTGACTTCATTCTGAAATCAAATAATCACTAACACGATATATTAAACAGTAACTGACATCTTTTGTGATCTCACTACGTAAAGGAACTATTTATACGTATTTTATTCTAAACTGTTATATTGATAACACTACAATCAAGATATTGCGATAACAGCATTCAGTTAACATAAAATGGGTTGTACATTGTCCAAAGAAGAGCGAGATGCTCTTGAACAAAGTCGTAATATCGATAAAAAACTTAAAGAAGATGGAATGCAGGCTGCAAAAGATGTCAAATTACTTCTTTTGGGTAAGTTTCAAAACTATGAATAAGCAGGTCTTATTAATTTAGTTCTTTAATGTTTTTTATTGTTTTGGTTCTTTATTATTATTATTATTATTTGTCCCTTGGATTCCTAATGGATCATAGGGCTTCAGTAGCACGTCTCCAGTGTAGCCTGTCCTCTGCCATCTTTTGAACCTGGCGCCACGACAACCCACAAGCTCTCATTTCTTCCTCACTCACATGATCTCCATGTCACCCTCACCTCGGACGCCCAACTTGTCGTTTCCCATCTGGGTTCCACTCGAGGGGCTGGCCTAGTGCATGATATCCCCAATCGACCTTCTCAGTGTATGCCCAATCCAGTCCATCTACACTTGCACACTCTTCTGCATATTTGTTGAGTGATGGGTTTTTGGTTGGTTCGTTGCCAGCCAGGCAGGCAGTCAACCAGCCAGAGTTCCTTGTTGCTTATTCTTATTATTCTGGGCATCTGATGTGAGCTTCAGTAATGAGGCAGTGTAGGCGGCAGTTGTTGATGAATGTGTGTAGTTTGTTGGAAATGCTTTTCGCGTTTACACGCCAAGTCTGTCAACCATCACATAGGAGGACTGACTTGACTTGATTGGTGTTGAGAATCCGGATGTTGTTCATGCATTATGCTGAGTGCAGTGCAGTAGATCTCCACAGAGGTTTCAGGTTAATGAAGACCTGTTTTGGCGTGTTTCCGATGCTGGCTGGCTGGCTGGCTGGCTTTGATATCCTCGTCTGTGTCCGTGTGGCGTGTAGTTGAGACGATGCTGCGTAGGTAGGTAGGTAGGTAGGTGGATGGGTGGGTGAAAGAGGCAACTTCCTTTAATTTTCTGCCGTTGATGGTGATTGGAGGTTGTTGTTGTTGGTGGTGGTGGTGAGGGTGTTGGTTGGATATCGATCATCATTACCTCTGTCTTCTCAATGTTCACTTGAAGTAAGTCCGGTCTTCGTTGCCGTACCGTGCCTCTTGTGTGAGCTTGTTAGTTTTCGGCTGTATATCTGTAATTTTGTGTGATATTAGACACAAGTCATCGGTGAAATCTAAGTCTTTTAGGTTTTTCCCCCGTTTCAGCGTATCCCGTTGAATGAATATCGTAGTCTTTAGGTTATTAGTGTACTTAATTCGACTACTAGCAATGGATGCATGTATTGGAACCTTACTGAACTACTAGAGCTTGGGTAGCAAGCTTTAATTTATTGGATGAACATATTATTTTTAAGTTCATGTATGATTCTGACTCGAATTAATTACATATTTGTCCCATACTATCTGTAAATAGAGATTTCTGTTTAAAATATTCATGTGCGTAGAGATTTCAGGGAGTAGATATAAGTCAATTGGTACGTTTGTGATCCCTCATCGGCTGAAGTGGTTGTGACATATGTTGCGTATGCCTGTTCACCGTCTATTTCGTTGTGCAGTATTATCTAAAGTAGTCTCAGGTTGGAAGATCAGATGAAATATGCCATTAGTACATAAAGTCGTTGACTGTTGATTTGAACCACACCGAGAGGTGTAAACTAGTTGGTTGGGGTCCACGTGACATCAAATACCAGGGGTTGGAAACTCTAGGTGATATGGCTCTCAGTGGCTCAGATGTATCCACACTTCATCTTAATCTAAGTCGCTATACTGAATTCAGAAATTTCTCTTTCTTCCTTCCTCTTTTACTGCATTCTATTCCTTATGATCTATTTTTCCTACTTTCTCCATCTTTCACTACTTATTGATTGCACTGATATGGAGCGTGGCAACATGGACCATTGTAGAATAATACCTGGTCATATGTTGTTGATAACCTTTGTAATAACTGACACTGAATTCATATTTTAGTTGTAAATTGTCAAAGGTTTATCGATGAAATTCAAATGTAAATGATACATCGGAAACGGTTTAGTCTGGATTCAGTGACTTTCAATCTTTTGAGAACTCTATGGTTGTAAATGTTTGTATTTCTTCCCTTTAGGGAAATGTGCAACCTCTGTATTTCTTATAATATTTTGAGTTTCAGGACAGATAGGAAAATCATATGATTTCCATCAAACATACTTATTATTTGAATCTGAGTTCAAAAAAGACCATTAGATTGTAAACAATTTAGCATATTTTAGTAATTTAGTTGGTTATAGTTAGCAGAAGAATCCAGGACGCGCGTTTCGTCCTGTTTGGGACTTGTCAGCTGGATGTACCTGCATACCAGGCATTATCGAGGCATCCGTATAGGAGCCCATATACCAATAGAGGTCGAACAATTCGATCCAAAGCAGAATCACAAGTATATCAATAAATAGTGATAATTTAGGATACTAATTTATGTAAATAACATTCCTAGACAATCATATAGCTTTGAGATGAATGCGGATTTTTTATTTTAGGAGTAGTGTTCATCACGGACTGACGTCAGTCGGGGAGCCATTGGAAATCTGGGAGAATTGGACAGTTGTTTCGCCCACCCAGTACTGGGCTCCTCAGCAGTATGTACCCATGACCCAGCTAGGGATCGAACTCAGGACCTTCAGGTTTCACGGCGAAAGCGTTAACCATTCAGCCACTGGGTCTGTATCCATTGGTTCACAATTTTCAACTTCTGTCAATTCATGACATAGCGCGACTATCACCCTGAAGTTCCTGGGTTCGATCCCCAGTCGGGTCGTGGGTGCGGACTGCTGAGAAGTCCCATATTAGGACGGAACAGTTGTCCAGTGCTCCCAGATTCTCAATGATCCTCCAACTGATATCAGTCCATGATGAATACTACTTCTAAATCATGTAGCTTGTCTGATAAAATAACTTGGGATTGTATCACATATTAGATTTTTTCAGTCTCCGTAGGTTTGTAAATTCAAGAAATAGCAACATCTATTGGTGGTTATTCAGTTTACAGTACGTTCTTCATCTCCCTAACTTTAATAGTTAACCATTCATTACCTAGATCTTCAATTTACTTACTTTTAGATAACTTATGCTTCATTATGGAAGCAGTTCTTGAAAAGAATTTTTCTATAGATTTAAGTGGAACCTGTACCTACAGTTTTACTCAAATGTTGTTTCTTTCCATTATTTTTCTGTCATAATTGAAATCAAAGTAGTGTCAAGTATCGAGTTCGACTAATACATGTATAAACTTTAACCACTGTACTAAAATGTAATTTCACATTACATTAGTTTACTTGATATGGCACACCATGCTAATAGTATGATTTACTAGTAAATTATAATATACTACTGTGTACTATATCAAATAGAGCCTAATCTATTACATGATTAAGCTCGTTTTTTCCCCCTAGAATTTCACTCAGCGTATGATTGTCTAGTTCAATATTTACGAACTTTTTTAACGTTTACTTTCGGTACTCAGATTCCTCAGGCTCTTACTCGCGTTTAGATTATCATATGAGTATGAGAAGTACTTATGTATACACCAACCAAAACTTCTCATAAATTTAAGCAGTTGACCTTCAAATATGAGGTCAAGGGCTCAAACTCTGCTTTGTCCTATTGAGGTTTAAATAATTAACCATTATTAATAAGCTTAGTATACGAACTTGCTTATGACTATTGAATTGCATTTTCTCATTGTTAGTGGACTCTAGGAGCGTAAGTTAGTATCTGAGAAGTGAATAATCAGTTCAGAACTGAGCTACCTAGTGGATGATAATAACGTCAGTGTGTGCTTCAAGTTAGTAGGACTATTAAGTTAACTTACATTAGAAAAGTAGAAAACAACCAACTTTTCAGAATACAGTAAATTTCTTTTCACTACCTCCTATTCAAAGAAAAGGCAGTTGAAAATAAATGAGTAACAGAAAGCAGGTGGATTAATATAATGTTGATTGCAGATGAAGTACACGTATTGATTGGGTTCGAGCCAGGTGTCTGTAAGGTACTGTTTTGGTACACTATTGGTTGAGACATAACCAAATAGCAATCATTATCGAGACTGATAGGTTTTGTAGCTGGATACCATCTTGATTACACCTATCTGTCAAGCCTTAACATTATCAGAAGTATGTTTGTGAATATTCATCGTCTTTGAACAAGCATTTTGTGTCCACGAATTCGCATTTACCCTTTACAATGCATATTTACTGAAATAATAGCGACAGGCTGTTACTCACTTGTGTTCTAACTAATATAGAAATAAAGATATTAGACAATCACAATGCATCATAAGATATTATGTCATAAAAGTAATCGTTTTGCAAGAACATTTGAAATCAGATTGTAGCTCAAACTGTTCATTGAATAGAAGATAGTCGACTAAGCGTGTTGTTGATGTATCTCATTTAAGAGGGTAACTCTTCTCAGTTCTTTTTTCGGCTTGAACGGTATCTCTTTACATTTGAGTAGTTAGATTATTCTATTTACTACTTATTGCTAAACTGTTATGATAAAATATCATTGTGTTGACCTCATTCCAGATTATCTATTTTCCCCTATAATACCGGTAAATTTTTACGCATATCGTAGGAGACAAGAAGGTAGAATGTTTATTATTGACATCTTGTACAATAGTCATCAAATATTATACACTTCCTACTAAGACAGTTATTTGCTCACACTGTCCCTTGCGTTTCTCTGGGTAGAATCTTTACCCATTGCTGGTAATTGCATATGCTTTCTGCCACCCTCTCAACAACATATACTACTTATATCCATTCTGATCAGCAGCGCCCACTACAGTATCGCTTTAGCCGTTTAATCGTCCCTTGACCATATGTTGGGTAAGTAAAAAAAAAACTGAAATGCACTCCGTAATCACATGCACGTTCATGCAATAGGCGATTGTCTACACCTATTGTTTGAGATGGTTAGTGGAACTATCTGGCGCTACCCAAACGTCAATAGATGCGGAAGGCTTCAAACCTGTCGAATATTTAATTCAGTCAGCCAGTCTTCTATTACAGTTAGCAAAAAACAAAAATTAATCTGTTTATAATTCTATAACTTTTTATTAAAATGAAAATGTTTCAGTTTTTTTAAAGTAGATTTC